AAGCGCTGCCATAGCGACTTGTGCGAGGTGGTCTGCAGTGAGCCCGAGGACGAAGTGGACGAGAAGGAAGTTAGCCATAGCGATAGAGTAGCAGCGGCCATAGCCGCCATAGCTGTAGGTGTGTGAGGGTGTGTGCAAGTGTACAGAGTGTTGCGTGTGGGATATCCAGGCCAATCCTGTGTGTGAACAGCAGTGTTGAGTAAGTGACGAACAGAGAGTTGTACAGGCGATTTGCCGCCATAGCCGTTTGAAGCGAACTTGTATCTGAGCTGCGTTCTTGGTTCTATATCTCTGAGTTCTGAGTGGGCGCTTGACGCCAGTTTGCTGCGCAACCTGTTTGCACGCATGTGAAGTGTGAATGAAAGCGAGTCTGATTTCACTGGTATCGGAGCTGGTACCCACTATCCCATGCGCCATCGCCGTTGCAGCAGGAGAGAGACGCGCGCCGTAGGGCGCCATAGTTGAAGAACGCCACCGTGAGGAAGAAGTCCACCGTAGCTTCGCTGGGGAAGAAGGTGCTGCGTACCTGCAAGGAAGACAACGACGCGCGCGCGCGCGCGAGAGAGAGAGAGAGAGAGAGAGAGAGAGAGAAGATTGGTTCGCTACGCACCTGCGCTGAAGACATCACCACGGAGAGAGAGAGTTGAGTGATACGAGATTGGTCGTGCGGTCCAAGACGAAGTAGCGGCCATAGCCGCGGAGCTCAGGACACGGAGGAGAGAGGAAGGTAAAGTAGAGAAGGGAGGAGAGATCGGAGAGGGAGAAGGAAGGAGGGACAACGAAGTGGAAGGCAGCCAGTGGGGGTGAACAAAAAAAAAGGAGAAAGGAGGAGGAGGAAGAGAAAGGAGGTTGGCGAGGAAGAAGGTGCCGGCAGCCATAGCCGACCTAGAGGTTGACCGGGCGTTGACCAGAGGGTTGACCGAAGCGTTGACCGGGGTGTTACTGCGTTGACCAAGTGTTGACCGAGGCGTTGACCGGAGCCGTTGACCACGATTTTGACCAAGTTGGAGTTGGTATAATCTCGCCAAGCCCTTAGCCTATCCCCTCGCCCCATGGATGTGCACTCACCCCATGGTACTTGCTGAGTCTGAGTCTGTCCGTCTCTTCTTTCTGCATTGAGTCTCTTTTGTCCAGGTGATAGGACTCCGTGTATGAAGGATAGGGCCTCGTTGACCAAACCCGCACGGGCTGAGTAGGGCTAAAGACTGTGTCTGACGACTCGACTGTCCCGGAGGACACGAACCCTCCCAAGGACCGGTACTGACCGGCGGGCTGCTCGGTGTGGCACGGTAGGCCCAAAATCCGAGCTGTGGGCTGCACAACGGGCCGTCTAAGTCTTGAGAGGATCTGCTGACCGCGTCGTCCTGTTTGCGACGTCAAAAAATTCCTGAGGAGTTACGGGGGATCTCCTTAAATGCCTCCTGGTCAGCAACAGATCCTGTAGTGACGGTTGTAGCATTAGAGTCTAGGCTAGAGACCATAGTTGACAGGGTTCCATACGGATCATGTGGTCCATAGTCAGTCTTAAGTTGAGTCAGTCAGGGGGAGAGTCTAAAGTGGTGAGGAGCGGATCTGTCACTTGGTTGTGCACCTTTCACCATGGTTGACAGGCGTAGTGGCCGGAGCACCTTCCCTTACACAGCAGAGCAGGATGCGAAGACCGCCGTCATCCTGAAAGAGAGAAGAGAGAAGGAGGAGGCCAAGAAGAAGGCCCTGATAGAAGAAGAGGCGGCCAAATTGAAGAAGATTGAGGAAGAGATGGCCTGAGAGAGAGAGAGAGGCTCAGAAAAGAGCAGGAAGAGAGGTTGAAGGCGATAGAAGATGGGGAAGAGGTAGAAGAACAACCGCTGGAAAGGAGAAGAAGGGGGCAAGGAGGTGAATCCAATGGTTCAAAGGAAGATCAGATGGAAAAGAAGATTACGGAATGGGTTGCTGGGTTATCTCTAGGAGAAGAAGAGGAGGCACTGATGTATGTGCCCAGGGAAGAACAAGAGGCCGCCATGAAAGTGTGGGATGCAAAAGAAGACCCACTCAAGCGGCATGCTATAGAGGATGAGAAAAGGATGGAGTGGAAGTTTCGATTGATGAGGGAGAGGAAAAGGGGAATGGAGGTGGCGAGCCTAGCGGCGAAAGAATTGGAGGAGGTGAAGAAACAAAGAGAGCAAATGGGGACGCAGATGGACCTATTGGGGAAGATGGAGATAATGGCGAGAAACATAGAGCGCCTGGCACAAGTCCAAGAAGAACAATATTTGTTCTTTAGAGGTCAAGACATTGCCTTACGCTCTATACGGTTGGGGTTCTGCGACTTCGCCAGGGAATTGGCGACGCAGGTGGGCTAAGAGGTGAGGGCCCGCCTAGAGGGCACGAAACGTTATTTTACGGGCGCCATAGAAGGCACCAGATTGATTGCTCCCAAAGAGGAGGAAGTACGTCCTCGAAGGGAGCCTGTCAAGGTCAAGTTCCCTGACTCTTGTAGTGGGAAGAAGGAGGAGAACTTCGACAATTGGGAGGCTAATATTAAGACGTACGTGTACCTGCAAAAAGTCGCCCCAGACGAGCATGTCCTAATAGCTATTCACGCTCTTAGGGAGTGTCAGGGCATTAAGGGAACGGTTTGCAGAAGTCTCGCGTAGTGTCAAAGCCTCTGATAGGCTGCAAACCATCCACTCCCGCCAGTGGAAGAGTGTCAGGGCACCATCCACTCCCGCCAGTGGAAGAAAATCATTAAGAAAATCAAGGAGGAGAACTTCGACATATTCAGCGTTCACGCCCCTCAATGATTTTCTTAAGTTATTAAGGGAACGGTTTACAGAAGTCTCGCGTAGTGTCAAAGCCTCTGATAGGCTGCAAACCATCCACTCCCGCCAGTGGAAGAGTGTCAGGGCATTCAAGGGCGTTATGAACGAGTTAGTCGCCATCCCGGACCATGGGGTCACAGAGACCCAATTGGTCAACCTCTTCTATCGTGCTATGCCTGAGCAGTTACGCGGGCATTTCTTCGAAACGAGTCAGCAGCCCAACATGATTTATGACGCTTTGAGTAGAGAAGTTGTAGCATTCGAAGCAAGGTCCATGTTAATTTCCACTTTTTGGCATAAGGACCTGGATAAGGGCAAAAAGTGGAAGGGTCGCACCATCTCAGGTCAGGTCAAGACCAAGGATCGTTTGATCCTTACGTTAGATGAGGGTGGTGTCGACGAAGTCCCCTACGAGCAGATTGAGTGGGGACTAGAGGAGGAGGACAGTGGCGTTAGCCAGGGGAGGACTTACGCTGCTGTCGCAGCCAGAGGGAGGCCGCAAGGAGGAGGTAGAGGCCAGGGCCAAGGGGGTCGGGCCTCAGGGGGCCGTTCCTAGGGCGATCAGGGGGTTGGTGGTAGAGGAGGAAAACGGCAAGCGGGAGGAAGGGGTCAAGGTCCCCTGCAAAACCCGTTCTGGAAGTAAGTCACCCAATAGGGGTAATAGGTCACACCCTATAGGAGAGGAAATTGGCACCCAGGTCTACCGCAGGGCCGGCCTTGGGAAGATTTGGGCCTGGACCAACGTGTCTGGCAACAATGTGTGGACCAGGGGCAGTGTATATATTGCGGTGACCCTGGCCACATCATTAAATTTTGTCCAAAGTATAGAGAGGGCCGATGAGCTGCCCAGGGGTCAAAAGGCAGCCGCCGGTAGGGGTAGCAACTGCCCCTACCATAAGTCCATGTGGGGAAATGAGCGCGAGCCGCCAGGAATCTCCCACACCACWTGTGCCTATGCCGATGGGCTGCCCAGGGGTCAAAAGGCAGCCGCCGGTAGGGGTAGCAACTGCCCCTACCATAAGGCCATGTGGGGAAATGAGCACGAGCCGCCAGGAATCTCCCACACCACATGTGCCTATGGCAAAGGTTGCAGGCCGGTGCCCAGATAGCTGTCCAGAGACCGTTTGTGTTAGGGTCTCTCTAGGTACTTCCCTCACAGGCATGGTCGATGAGCTAAAGGAGAGGATGCCCGCCTGGGCCAAGATGAAGAAGGAGAGTAGAGGACAACTAGTTTTAGTAGATGTAGAGATTTTCAGAGGTAGAGTAGGGGCCCTAGTAGATAGTGGGGCCACGCGCAGCTATGTCAGTAGAAAGGTGTTGTAGAAGTTGAAGATGGGGCTAAAAGTCCAGAAGTTAGCAGACCCCATAGTGAGTATCCTCGCAGACAATCGCACGATGCGAGTAGAGGATTATGTAGAGGGAGTCCAAGTGTACTTTCGCCTAGAGAAAGATGGGAAGGTGGAGTAGTTCTCCATTCCTTGACTCTCCTCGTAGAGGACAACCTTCCTTTCGATATAGTCCTAGGAATTGACTGGGGAGAGGCAGTCGGGGCCACACTCCATTTGATAGAGCACGAGTGTAGGCTCCCTAGTCCGTTAGGCGGGGTCAAGACTGCCCGTTTGTTCCACGTGTCGGGAGTAGATAACTCCCTGGCACATTGCTGCCTTAGCGCTCCTGCGTTTGCAAGATTAGTGAAGGAGGAACAGCTAGAAGAACAGGTCTTTGTAGCCTATGTCAGGCCAGTTACTGAGCCTAAAGAGGAAAAACCCATAGATTCTGCTATTGCCAAGCTGTTGGAAGAGTATGTAGATTTAGCTAAGCCGCCTGCAGGAGTAGTCCCGTGGCCCATCCAACACCGCATTGAGATAGAGCCTTGCAGTAGGACTCATAAAGGAGCAGTGTATAGGATGTCCCCGCGGGAGTTGGAGGAGCTGCGCAAGCAGTTGGACGAGCTCCTAGAGAAGGGTTGGATTAGGCCCAGTTCGTCTCCATTTGGAGCACCTGTTTTGTTTGTCCCCAAGAAAGAAGGAGAGCTTAGAATGTGTATAGACTATAGGGGTCTCAATGCGATTATAGTGAAGAACACGGAACCTCTGCCCCCTATAGATGACCTTTCAGATCGGGTGCAGGGTTGCAAGTATTTTTCAAAAATAGATCTGAAGTGCGGATATCATCAGATAGAGGTCCATCCCGATGATCAGTATAAGACCGCATTCCGGACTAGATATGGTCACTACGAGTTCATAGTTATGCCCTTCGGACTAACCATCGCGCCAACAACTTTTCAGCGTTGTATGAATGACTTGTTTAGGCCGTGGTTGGACAGGTTTGTAGTAGTCTATTTAGATGACATTCTAGTGTTCAGTAGGACCCTCCAGGAGCATGAGGGTCATCTAAGGCAGGTCTTGGAGAGGCTCAGAGAGGCAAACTTCAAGATCAATGCGAAGAAGTGCGAATGGGCAAAGACCCAAGTTTTGTATTTAGGCCATGTCTTAGACGGAGACGACATTAAACCAGAAGATAGTAAGATTGCAGCGATTAGAGATTGGCCTACACCCCGCACGTTGACAGAGTTGCGGTCGTTCTTAGGCCTAGCTAATTATTACAGGAAGTTTGTGAGGAACTTTTCCACCATCGCTGCTCCCCTTCACAGGTTGCTAAAGAAAGAAACAATCTGGAAGTGGGATAAGGACTGCACGTCTGCCATGAAGAAGTTGAAACAGGCATTGATAGAGTACCCAGTCCTTAAGGTAGCCGATCCGTCCTTACCTTTCGTTGTCACCACTGACGCGAGCCAGTATGGTATAGGTGTTGTATTACAGCAGGACGATGGCAACGGATATAGACCCGTTGAGTTCATGTCTGCTAGGATGTCTTCAGAGAAGGTAGCGACATCTACCTACGAGAGGGAACTCTACGCTCTCAGGCAAACATTGGAACACTGCAAGCACTACTTGCTTGGGAGGCAATTCAAAGTTTACTCAGACCACGAGACATTAAGGTGGCTGAAGACGCAGGCCAAGATGACACCTAAGCTTACTAGGTGGGCCGCAGAGTTAGACCAACATGACTTTGAGCTTAAGCCAGTCAAAGGGAAGTATAATGTAGTTGCAGACGCTCTGAGTAGGAAAGCTGACTAATTTGGAGCGATAGTTTATTAGCTGGATATAGGGAGAGACCTGCAATAGAAAGTTAGAGAGGCGTATGCGCAGGACCCTATCTATAGTGACCTCCTCAAGAGAGTAAAGGAGGCCCCAGAGTCAGAACCAGACTACCGCACTACTGATGGGCTACTATTCGAGAAGACTAACGTAGTTGACAGATGGTGCATTCCTAACAGCGAAGAGATCCGTAGTTTGATCCTAGGGGAATGCCACGATATTGAGGGACATTTTGGTTGGCAAAAGACTCTAGCTAAGCTCATGCCCGTGTACATATGGCCTGGGATGAAGGCCAACTGCATAGAGTATGTTCGCAGTTGTAAGGTCTGCCAGAGAAATAAGACCTCTACGCGTGCCCCTCTAGGCCTTCTCAGACCCTTGCCTATTCCTGATCCGCCAGGAGATTCAGTGTCCATTGACTTTATGAACACCCATGTCAAGAGTAGGCACGGCAAGAGCCAAGTCATGGTAATAGTTGACAGGTTTAGTAAGTATGTTGTTTTTGTTCCTTTGCCCTCAGAGGCACACACAAAATTAGTTATTCAGAAGTTCTTTGATCATTGGGTCAGTGAACACGGGATTCCACTGTCTATAGTTAGCGATAGAGACACCCGGTTCACTAGTCAGAACTGGCAGGAGTTGATGAGAGTCTATGGCTCCGAGTTGTTGATGTCATTTGGCCGTCATCCAGAGACTAACGGTTAGACTGAACAGATGAATAAGATCCTGCAACAAGTTCTGCGTATGTACATTAGACCGGATCAGAGATCAATTGGGATGAGATGTTGCCCAAAGTAGCCAGTGCGTACAATAACAGTGTGCACTTGTCTACCTGTCGCACTCCCAACGAGTTACACAAGTCCTTTAGACCACGTAGACCGTTTGAGGGACTTAATTGGGACCAGATTCACAGGCTGCCACCCGGTACTAGGGAGTTTACTTTACAGCACGAGAAAGAGTTAGCTACCGTGGTAGAGAACCTCAGGAAAGCCCAACACCAAACGATAGAACAAGCTAACGAGCACCGTCGCCCGTCACAGTTTCAAGTAGGTGACCTGGTCTCGGTCAAGTCCAAAGAGTTTGCTCCTGAGGAAAACATCTCGGAGAAGTTACTGCCCGCGTATAGAGGACCGTGGCCAGTTCTGGAAGTTAAGGGCGGAGAGGATGGGCCATCCTGCACAGTAGAGATTCCAGCACACCTCCACACCTACCCTGTGTTTCATGCCTCAAAGTTGTTGTCGTGTGTCACAAGTCAACAGTTTCCATCTAGAAGATCCACGATTCCTCCACACATGGACGGAAGGTACGACATTGACGGCATTGTAGGAGAAGACGTGTTCCGAACAGGAGGCAGAGGTCGTCCGCAGAAACAATACAAGGCACATAAACAATACAAGGTTCGGTTTGCTTATCAGGAACCAGAGGACGACCGTTGGTTTACTAGAACAGAACTTCTAGAAACAACTCCCGATGTAGTTAGAGACTACGAGAGAGATAAGAAAGGTAAAGGCCCTGCCTTGGACTGAGTTATTCTCGGAGGACCTCGAATTTAGGCCGGCGGGAGTGAAACGGTTTTCACCTTTTAGCAGTAGCGAATGCAGATCCCAGGG